TATATATATATATATATATATATATATAAATAAAGGAAGATAAATTTTTTTGTTTTTATTTTATTTTTTTAATTATTATTTTTTTAGTTTTGTTATTTTGATAATTATTTTCTTCAATTCAAATATTTTGTTATTTTAGTAATTATATTTTTAAATTTAGATAATCAATCATAATAAAAACTTATTTACATAATATTATTTATTTTAATATTTAATTTTTTTTATTAATAACTGTATTTATTTATGCTAATATTGATAAGGTATTTCAATGACATGAATATCTTTTAAACTCTTCATAATTAAGGACGAATAAAATTAAAAGCGAAAAAACAAGGATGTTTATAAGGGAAATATAAATTGAAATGTTCCCTATTAATTTTGTTTTATGTCATACATTTTATTAGTAGTTTTTAGAATTTATGTTCTGAAACTAATTCATATATAAATTTGTGTTATCGAAAAAAAAGAATTAAATATGTTTTTATTTCCTAAATTATTGATCGTTTTTGGTTTTCGTCCCTCTTTCAAAATAAGGTATAATTTGATCCTCGTTCTATTCGAAACTTTGGTTTTAGTCCTCGAAAACTAACACCGTTAAAAATGTGGTAGTTTTCGAGGATTAAAACCAAAGTTTCGAGGACTAAAATCAAAGTTTCAAGTACTTTATTTTGAAATAGGAATGAAAATCAGAAACGGCCAATAGTTTAGGACTAAAAACATATTTAATAAAAAAAATTAATTTGCATTTAAGTTTATACTGTTGATTGATCAAGGTAGAAAAGAAAACATTTTCTATTTTTGGAATATCTACTCACTTACGTGAGTATTTCTTTCGAAGTATAATGTAGTTGTCAAAGTGGATACACGAGTGATTCGTAGACATAATGATGTTTCTTCTACGTAGCTACGTCGTACGTTGTCATTCCTAATACCAACTTCTAGGAAACATACAGAAAATAAAAGAGAGAAAGGTGTACAAAAAGATCAAGTAAAGCTATAAAAAATAATATTACTTTTAAAGTACTTAAAATTAAACTAATCCAAAATATAGAATTAAAAATGCATCAAAATAACTTCGTTTCACATTTTTTTAACTTTATATTTTTCATCTAAAATTTAAAATTAAAAACCAAACCTTATTTAATTTAAACATAATATTATACGTGTCTAATGTAATTAGAATGAAACAAACATACATAATATAACTCTTAACGATTACTATAAACAGAAATTATGAATGAATAAATTTAGGGCATAGATCTTTATTTAATAAATTTTTATGAGAAAATTAAAAAAGAAATCAGATGGCAGACACAGAAATGAAAGGGGATGTGTGCTGTGCAGTAGTGGTTGGAAAAAAGAGTGAAATGGTATGTGAATGGCAGAAATGAGAGACGCAACCGAGGTTGAGTGAACACGTGTCTTGGAACCTCGCGGAACTGAACAAAAGCAAAATTTACGGAAAGCAACTTCTGTGATGCCACGTAAACTAACCTATGACTCTGACCTTTCTCTCTCTATTCATATCATTTCCTTTCACCAACTGGCCCCACACTTACCTCATCTTTCACACATCCGTATCGCATCCCCCAACATCAACGCTCCACGTACCTGCCTTTCAATCTCAGTCGTCCACGTCTCCTTCACAAAAATCCAACTCACTGGTCCATAAATATCCACCTGTTACGCCATCACACCCTCCCTTTCAAATCGACGGTCCACACTCTACGCCTCTCAGATCTCGCAATCAAACACTTTAAATTCCCTCCTTCCACGCTACACCTCCTTTCTCTTTATTGCCGTTTTTCTTATTTCCATCTTATTGGCTATTCCTCTTCTGCTGTCTTCTGCTTTGTTCAGTTCGTTGCATGCAAAAACCACTATGAAGAAGCCAAAACACCACTCATCGTCGGCCAACGCTGACCGGCGAGTGGAGCCTGATTCCGGTGAGTTTGTCGCCAAGATGAAGAACGGTCGCCAGAGACGGCTCAAAATCAAGCAAATGAAGTACACTTGCCAGGCGAAGATCCGCATCAGGAATGGAACCGTCGGCGTCTCGCCGACGCCGGCGGAGGACCTGGAGGGAGGGAGCAGAGAGATTCATGATCGCGTGGAGATATCTTTGTCGCTGGCGGCGGCGTCGTCGTCCTCGGAGGAGGAGGAGCGGTCATTGTCGGAGAAAAACGACGGTGTTTTGTCGTACGGGTCAACGTCTGTGATTGGGAGCAGGAAGGAGATGGAGGACGCGGTGAGTGCGGAGATAGGGTTTGCTGCGAAGGAGAAAGGGAAGTACGACTTCTTCGCGGTGTACGACGGCCACGGCGGAGCGCAGGTGGCGAAGGCGTGTCGCGAGCGGTTGCACCGGCTGGTTGCGGAGGAAGTGGAGAGGAGTGAGAGTCCCGTGGAATGGGACTGGCAGGGAGTGATGGAAGGGTGCTTCCGTAAAATGGACAGCGAGGTCGCCGGTAATGCGGCCGTCAGGACTGTGGGTTCCACGGCGGTTGTAGCTGTGATCGCGGCGGAGGAGCTTGTCGTCGCTAATTGCGGTGATTGTAGGGCTGTGTTGGGAAGAGGAGGTGAGGCCGTCGACTTGTCTAGTGATCATAAGGTATAGGTGTTACATCTTAAATTAATTAAATTCTCAAATTTCTACTTTATTTTTTATTCCATAGACAGTTCATTTTTTAATTTTTTTTTGTAAGTTTTGATTTTTGTACATTATTATATGTTAAAAGATGGCGTAGTACCGTTTTCATTGGCAATCTAAATATGTATTTACTCATATACTTAAAAACAAGTCAATGTTCTTCAATTTGATGGCGAAAAGTTTAGTTTGTCAAAATTGTTGCTGGCAAGTGAATGTCTGGAATGCGTGTATGTGTTATGTTTAGCGTCCAGAAGAGAAAGATGTCGTTTTGTCGCATTGGAGAGTCAATTATTTCAATTATTGTTTCGAGATTTACGATCTTCTTTGAAATGAGGTTATAACAGCTTTTGCATTGTTAATTAATTTTTCGTTTCTTTTTTCATCACAAAGCAAAATTTATTGTAAGATAATGAATGACATTGTGGTTCCGTTCTGTATGCACACAGCCCGATAGACCAGACGAGTTGATGCGAATCGAAGAGGCTGGTGGAAGGGTCATTAACTGGAATGGCCAGCGCGTGCTTGGTGTTCTTGCTACTTCAAGATCCATAGGTTAGTTTCCACCTTTAAATCTTTACTCACTATAATACTGGTTTTCAACCGTTAATTAATTAAGCACTTAGCGATGTTGCTTCGGGGTCGTGTGGATTATCCTTGTGGTTTGGCATTTTTTTAACACAACGTTTTTATCTGATCAGCATTGAAAAGACAGAAGAATCTTGGCTCCCTCTGGCTTTTTATTATCAGTGTCGTGAGTATGGCAGAGCAACGTTGACCGAAATGAGTATTATTATTATTATCGGCTTTCTCTGACCTTGAATTTGATTTTTACAATTAGTACCTTTAAACTCTTTAACTAACTACTAAGATGACAAACTGTTGCTGTAATCCCTCCAGTATATAGGAATATTAAAGAATGTAATTAACGATGTTTCTTCTATGTAAAACAAGTTTGCCATAAATCAATGATACGTTGGACAGAAATAGAACAGTTATTCAAAAGCCTTAATTGCTTCTCGTATAGGGTCAATCACATGGAACCCTTAACTAATAAATGGAGAGGGTTTTGTGGTGTGGATATGGTTTACCTCAAGATTAAGGAATCTTGATCAATCAAGTTCCATGGAACAGTCTAATCTCCATTTGTTAAAATATGCAAACTTGAATCATTTATTTTGAGCATCCTTTTTAATTGGTAAAGTTGAATCTGTGCTTTATGTAACAGATCTAGAAAGGATAAATGAAAACCATAATATTTAACAAGAATGACTGTATCTGAACATTGTTTGAAATGCAGGAGATCAGTACCTTCGACCTTATGTGATATCAAATCCAGAAGTGACAGTGACGAAGCGAAGCAGCAAGGATGAATTTGTGATACTAGCAAGTGATGGATTGTGGGATGTTATGTCGAGTGAAGTTGCGTGCCAAGTTGTAAGGAAATGCCTGAATGGACAGATTAGGAGAGTGTGCAATGGAGTTGGGAACCATGAAAACCGTGCTGCCGAGGCTGCAAGCCTCTTAGCTGAGATAGCATTGGCAAAGGGAAGTAAAGATAACACCAGTGTCATTGTAGTTGAGCTAAGAGGAACGGTAACATAACATCTCAGTGTCTACAAAAACATGTATTTTCTTCTCTAATTCTTGCCTTCTGCTTTTGGACTAATATCCACTCAGGTCTTGCATCCTCAATGCCACGAGAGATTATCTACTACCACATAATTACGAGTACTTACATCGGTGTTTCTTCTTTTAATAATGGCCTCTTATTAATTCTTCAAATATCTAAAATGTCGCTAAAGTTTTGCAATTTTTTTTTGCTAAACTAGCTTGGACAATGTAAAGGACAAACATTTGCTTTACTGACTATATACATTTTTAAGAAAATTGACAGTCCTATTTTCTTGAATAAAGGGCTATTACAAGTATAACATTTAAGCTTGAAGATTCATATTTTACAGCATAGGAGGAAGGATATTTTTTCCACAAATGGCACTGTTGAATTTCCTTAATTTGACCAGTTGCAACTTCACTTTCCTAAATAATGTAGATAAAGGTCCAGAAAACATGCCACACATACATTGAATAATATCGTGTAAATCTATGACTGTGATGTTATGTACAGGGGTATATATTAGAGAGTAAGAAGCAAAAACATGTAACAACAGAAAAATCTAACTTTGATTTGATTATCTAACATTCCTATTCAAGTCAAAAGCTTTGTAACNCGCATCCCCCAACATCAACGCTCCACGTACCTGCCTTTCAATCTCAGTCGTCCACGTCTCCTTCACAAAAATCCAACTCACTGGTCCATAAATATCCACCTGTTACGCCATCACACCCTCCCTTTCAAATCGACGGTCCACACTCCACGCCTCTCAGATCTCGCAATCAAACACTTTAAATTCCCTCCTTCCACGCTACACCTCCTTTCTCTTTATTGCCGTTTTTCTTATTTCCATCTTATTGGCTATTCCTCTTCTGCTGTCTTCTGCTTTGTTCAGTTCGTTGCATGCAAAAACCACTATGAAGAAGCCAAAACACCACTCATCGTCGGCCAACGCTGACCGGCGAGTGGAGCCTGATTCCGGTGAGTTTGTCGCCAAGATGAAGAACGGTCGCCAGAGACGGCTCAAAATCAAGCAAATGAAGTACACTTGCCAGGCGAAGATCCGCATCAGGAATGGAACCGTCGGCGTCTCGCCGACGCCGGCGGAGGACCTGGAGGGAGGGAGCAGAGAGATTCATGAACGCGTGGAGATATCTTTGTCGCTGGCGGCGGCGTCGTCGTCCTCGGAGGAGGAGGAGCGGTCATTGTCGGAGAAAAACGACGGTGTTTTGTCGTACGGGTCAACGTCTGTGATTGGGAGCAGGAAGGAGATGGAGGACGCGGTGAGTGCGGAGATAGGGTTTGCTGCGAAGGAGAAAGGGAAGTACGACTTCTTCGCGGTGTACGACGGCCACGGCGGAGCGCAGGTGGCGAAGGCGTGTCGCGAGCGGTTGCACCGGCTGGTTGCGGAGGAAGTGGAGAGGAGTGAGAGTCCCGTGGAATGGGACTGGCAGGGAGTGATGGAAGGGTGCTTCCGTAAAATGGACAGCGAGGTCGCCGGTAATGCGGCCGTCAGGACTGTGGGTTCCACGGCGGTTGTAGCTGTGATCGCGGCGGAGGAGCTTGTCGTCGCTAATTGCGGTGATTGTAGGGCTGTGTTGGGAAGAGGAGGTGAGGCCGTCGACTTGTCTAGTGATCATAAGGTATAGGTGTTACATCTTAAATTAATTAAATTCTCAAATTTCTACTTTATTTTTTATTCCATAGACAGTTCATTTTTTAATTTTTTTTTGTAAGTTTTGATTTTTGTACATTATTATATGTTAAAAGATGGCGTAGTACCGTTTTCATTGGCAATCTAAATATGTATTTACTCATATACTTAAAAACAAGTCAATGTTCTTCAATTTGATGGCGAAAAGTTTAGTTTGTCAAAATTGTTGCTGGCAAGTGAATGTCTGGAATGCGTGTATGTGTTATGTTTAGCGTCCAGAAGAGAAAGATGTCGTTTTGTCGCATTGGAGAGTCAATTATTTCAATTATTGTTTCGAGATTTACGATCTTCTTTGAAATGAGGTTATAACAGCTTTTGCATTGTTAATTAATTTTTCGTTTCTTTTTTCATCACAAAGCAAAATTTATTGTAAGATAATGAATGACATTGTGGTTCCGTTCTGTATGCACACAGCCCGATAGACCAGACGAGTTGATGCGAATCGAAGAGGCTGGTGGAAGGGTCATTAACTGGAATGGCCAGCGCGTGCTTGGTGTTCTTGCTACTTCAAGATCCATAGGTTAGTTTCCACCTTTAAATCTTTACTCACTATAATACTGGTTTTCAACCGTTAATTAATTAAGCACTTAGCGATGTTGCTTCGGGGTCGTGTGGATTATCCTTGTGGTTTGGCATTTTTTTAACACAACGTTTTTATCTGATCAGCATTGAAAAGACAGAAGAATCTTGGCTCCCTCTGGCTTTTTATTATCAGTGTCGTGAGTATGGCAGAGCAACGTTGACCGAAATGAGTATTATTATTATTATCGGCTTTCTCTGACCTTGAATTTGATTTTTACAATTAGTACCTTTAAACTCTTTAACTACTAAGATGACAAACTGTTGCTTTAATCCCTCCAGTATATAGGAATATTAAAGAATGTAATTAACGATGTTTCTTCTATGTAAAACAAGTTTGCCATAAATCAATGATACGTTGGACAGAAATAGAACAGTTATTCAAAAGCCTTAATTGCTTCTCGTATAGGGTCAATCACATGGAACCCTTAACTAATAAATGGAGAGGGTTTTGTGGTGTGGATATGGTTTACCTCAAGATTAAGGAATCTTGATCAATCAAGTTCCATGGAACAGTCTAATCTCCATTTGTTAAAATATGCAAACTTGAATCATTTATTTTGAGCATCCTTTTTAATTGGTAAAGTTGAATCTGTGCTTTATGTAACAGATCTAGAAAGGATAAATGAAAACCATAATATTTAACAAGAATGACTGTATCTGAACATTGTTTGAAATGCAGGAGATCAGTACCTTCGACCTTATGTGATATCAAATCCAGAAGTGACAGTGACGAAGCGAAGCAGCAAGGATGAATTTGTGATACTAGCAAGTGATGGATTGTGGGATGTTATGTCGAGTGAAGTTGCGTGCCAAGTTGTAAGGAAATGCCTGAATGGACAGATTAGGAGAGTGTGCAATGGAGTTGGGAACCATGAAAACCGTGCTGCCGAGGCTGCAAGCCTCTTAGCTGAGATAGCATTGGCAAAGGGAAGTAAAGATAACACCAGTGTCATTGTAGTTGAGCTAAGAGGAACGGTAACATAACATCTCAGTGTCTACAAAAACATGTATTTTCTTCTCTAATTCTTGCCTTCTGCTTTTGGACTAATATCCACTCAGGTCTTGCATCCTCAATGCCACGAGAGATTATCTACTACCACATAATTACGAGTACTTACATCGGTGTTTCTTCTTTTAATAATGGCCTCTTATTAATTCTTCAAATATCTAAAATGTCGCTAAAGTTTTGCAATTTTTTTTTGCTAAACTAGCTTGGACAATGTAAAGGACAAACATTTGCTTTACTGACAATATACATTTTTAAGAAAATTGACAGTCCTATTTTCTTGAATAAAGGGCTATTACAAGTATAACATTTAAGCTTGAAGATTCATATTTTACAGCATAGGAGGAAGGATATTTTTTCCACAAATGGCACTGTTGAATTTCCTTAATTTGACCAGTTGCAACTTCACTTTCCTAAATAATGTAGAGAAAGGTCCAGAAAACATGCCACACATACATTGAATAATATCGTGTAAATCTATGACTGTGATGTTATGTACAGGGGTATATATTAGAGAGTAAGAAGCAAAAACATGTAACAACAGAAAAATCTAACTTTGATTTGATTATCTAACATTCCTATTCAAGTCAAAAGCTTTGTAACATTTTATAACACCAATCAATTCTCTTATACGGCTAAACCTTTCATATTTTAGAACTTTTGTTAGTATATATTAACTAGCTGAACATCTGATATGCAATGTTAATTCTCTAATTTCTCATTTTTGATATGTTTATGAATGAAATAGAACCTAGTATTTCTCATTTTTTATATGTTTATGAATGAAATAGAACCTAGTTTCAATGTATTTGCTTCTATCATGAATGGTTAGCTTTATTTAGTTTTGTTTTAAACTTTAATAAATAAATAAATTGAATAACTCATTATTTACTTGAAACATTATTTATAATTATAAGGAAATCAAATTAAAGACTTAGACTTTGTTTACTTGAAGGAGATTGGAGGAGATGATTTGGGGAGAGTGAGTAGATGAAATTGAGGGTAAATTTTGTGTTGTTTATTTGAGTGAATTTGGAGGTATTTGGGAGTGGATTTGGAAGTAAAGTTTATAAGAATTAGTGTAGGATTTGATTGATGTGACAAATAAAGAAAATTGGTTTAATTGGTAGAAATTAAAGAATACTAAAATGACCCTAGTTATTAATGTAATATAAAATGATAATGGTTAATGTTATATTTAATTGTAAAAATGTTTATAAAGAGTAAAAAATTAAAATTAATTATTAAAGTAAATTTAAAAAATGTCAAAAAATTATAAATTAGTAAAATGAATTTTTTTTAAATGTAATATTTGTTTGTAATATAATTTACTACCATGTGGTATGATTTTATTTGTTATCGAAGTGAGTTGAATATTTTTGAACAAACAAATAATGAAACGAAGTTAGAATATTACACTACATAAAAAAATGCGAACATAATAACATACAAATATATTTGTCATAGTTTATGATGAAGTTGCTTCGGTGAGGTATGTAAACAATTTATTGAAACGATATTATATTGGCATCCCTATTAGACGTCTTGTATGGGATGAATGTGAAGATAGAAAGTCGAAACACTGTCTGAATAAATTATCATCTTGAATGTTCATAGTCTGTAATAAGTTATGAATTTCTTCTGAAGTTGGATTAGATGAATGAATCCTAGCCGTTAACAACGAATTTCGACGCTCCATGGCCTGTATTTGTCGTTCAAGAATTGCACATAGTCTTCTTCTTTCAGTAATTCCCTTTTACAATTCATCAATGATTCGAGAATCCACCTGATTTACAGTTCATTAAGTTGACAATAAATAAAAGTATGATAACTTATGTCAAAGTAAGTAGAATTGAAATATAGGTAATGTAAGAAATTAAACACATAAGTCAATGTAAGCAAATAAGTCATGTAATAGAGTCATCCAATAGTAAAGAACTTAATCATCTAAATGGTGAAAAATTAAGTTAACATTCTGATTCAGGTTAGCAAATTGTTGGTTAATGTCAAGGGATAAGTTTGCCAAGTTATCTTCAATACGTTAAACCCGCCCCTACATTTGTTCCACATTCCTGCATTCTGTGTTGCAAGTCTTGTACCCCCTCCCACATTTGAGTCATCATATTAGGATTTGAAAGATATGGAGGAGGTTGCACATGGTTGTCATGTTGAGGACTATGATGTTGTGGTTGCTCTTCGTCTTCATCATCACCGACGTCATGTTGCCAAACACCATTCACATTAACAATATTCAACCTCTTCAAAGAATTAGTTGAAAAATGATGTATGGTCCTAATTTGAGTGCTGGCATCGACATCAAAATGTACTCCATTGTAAATCATGATTTGGGTGATAAGGAGACCGTATGGTAATGGTGTGTCACCTGCCTTGCATTTAAGCATATGTTGCATGATGTGATGAGGTCAATTAATAACTATATTATTTTTATGCAGCCATAACATAAAGACATCCTCGTGTAATAACTTTGCAAAAATTCCAAGTCGTGGAGTCAACATGTGCACAATAACATAATGCAGAAGTCTATCATTAATATTCAAACAACCAATTGTTTTAACACGTGGACCCTACATTTCTGGTCTAACCATAGTAGTTAATGACATCTCCCATTCATAGGAAAATTCATCTGGGATATTTGCATAACACATATTCTGACCCTCTTACTTCATATGAGCAACATTGAACCAATCATCAGGTTTCAATTTAATTCTTCTCTTGTTGACCTCACTGAGAAGATATTCATTTCTATAAAATCCTCATATTTGAATAAAAGACTTTGATCAAATCCAGATAGAAGGGTCGCTCCAATGTCAAAAAATCAACCACTCCTTGAAATACAAGATGATGTTAAAAATATAAGCCTGAAGGGGCAAATGATTTGAAATTCATTATTTTTGGAACAACAATATTTATTGTGTAGAAATCAATGGCATAGTGTTCCACCTGATGGTTGTCATTGAAAAAACGTTGTTGATCTAATACTTCCACAACAGATGGTCTGACATACTTAAGGGCTTTTGTCTCATTTGTGGGTTCTTTTCCGTTACGGCTTTTTCTAGGCCTTTTGGATGCTGTCATTTACCAATAACTTCAACAAAACAGAAAATAATAACAATAACAAGTTAAGTCATAAGAACAATTCAATATTAGTAATAACAAGATCATTCACAAACCATGATGAGTCATAACCATTACTTAAATATTGCAGAATTTGAAAAAATAACAAGTCATAATTACAATACAATTAAAACTATGTCACAAACTGATGTCGTCAGTCACCTCCCATCATCATCTTGCATAACTTATTCCACCTCTTATATGGTGGAAGTCCCATCAATCTTTTTATAAATGTCGGATTTCCACATCGGAAATCATAACATTGCTCTAGTAAGCTTTCATCTGAAATATTCATTGCATTCAGCATCTCATATATGTCGTCCTCTATCGCCCTCTATGTATGTAAATAACTCGTGCGGATTTTATGGTACTCTATGTGTAAGTTCTTTCACGTGATATGTGACGCCTCTATATGGTGTAAGAATATTACTTTTCATCATAAAACCAACGTCGCCAAGATAGTATTTTCCTACAATATTGTAGATGTATCGGTATTTAGTCACAGTAAACAAAGTCATGAAGATGGCAATGAAGACACTGACCTTGGGGCATAAACAACANTTGAGCATCCTTTTTAATTGGTAAAGTTGAATCTGTGCTTTATGTAACAGATCTAGAAAGGATAAATGAAAACCATAATATTTAACAAGAATGACTGTATCTGAACATTGTTTGAAATGCAGGAGATCAGTACCTTCGACCTTATGTGATATCAAATCCAGAAGTGACAGTGACGAAGCGAAGCAGCAAGGATGAATTTGTGATACTAGCAAGTGATGGATTGTGGGATGTTATGTCGAGTGAAGTTGCGTGCCAAGTTGTAAGGAAATGCCTGAATGGACAGATTAGGAGAGTGTGCAATGGAGTTGGGAACCATGAAAACCGTGCTGCCGAGGCTGCAAGCCTCTTAGCTGAGATAGCATTGGCAAAGGGAAGTAAAGATAACACCAGTGTCATTGTAGTTGAGCTAAGAGGAACGGTAACATAACATCTCAGTGTCTACAAAAACATGTATTTTCTTCTCTAATTCTTGCCTTCTGCTTTTGGACTAATATCCACTCAGGTCTTGCATCCTCAATGCCACGAGAGATTATCTACTACCACATAATTACGAGTACTTACATCGGTGTTTCTTCTTTTAATAATGGCCTCTTATTAATTCTTCAAATATCTAAAATGTCGCTAAAGTTTTGCAATTTTTTTTTGCTAAACTAGCTTGGACAATGTAAAGGACAAACATTTGCTTTACTGACAATATACATTTTTAAGAAAATTGACAGTCCTATTTTCTTGAATAAAGGGCTATTACAAGTATAACATTTAAGCTTGAAGATTCATATTTTACAGCATAGGAGGAAGGATATTTTTTCCACAAATGGCACTGTTGAATTTCCTTAATTTGACCAGTTGCAACTTCACTTTCCTAAATAATGTAGAGAAAGGTCCAGAAAACATGCCACACATACATTGAATAATATCGTGTAAATCTATGACTGTGATGTTATGTACAGGGGTATATATTAGAGAGTAAGAAGCAAAAACATGTAACAACAGAAAAATCTAACTTTGATTTGATTATCTAACATTCCTATTCAAGTCAAAAGCTTTGTAACATTTTATAACACCAATCAATTCTCTTATACGGCTAAACCTTTCATATTTTAGAACTTTTGTTAGTATATATTAACTAGCTGAACATCTGATATGCAATGTTAATTCTCTAATTTCTCATTTTTGATATGTTTATGAATGAAATAGAACCTAGTATTTCTCATTTTTTATATGTTTATGAATGAAATAGAACCTAGTTTCAATGTATTTGCTTCTATCATGAATGGTTAGCTTTATTTAGTTTTGTTTTAAACTTTAATAAATAAATAAATTGAATAACTCATTATTTACTTGAAACATTATTTATAATTATAAGGAAATCAAATTAAAGACTTAGACTTTGTTTACTTGAAGGAGATTGGAGGAGATGATTTGGGGAGAGTGAG